ATTTTGAGATTTCTCTCTTCACTATTTCCTCAGACTGTTTGGTGTCAAAGAGACCAGGAGTGTCGACAACAGAAACCATCCTGCTGGAGACCATTTCTCGTTGTTTGGAGCATTCAGCGGTCTCTGTAGATGGAAAATACAAATTTATAGGCAAAATTAACAAATATGGAAGTGAATGACATGCAATTAAACTATTGTCCAGGTTCTATATTTCATTGTTACCTGAGGAGTGGTTGGTTGGTGCTCTGAAGGCTTCTCTTCCTAATATGGTGTTACCACTGGAGCTCTTTCCTGCACCAGTTTTTCCAACAAGAACTAGTCTGAAGTCTGAAACTGAACCAACAAAGAATGAAAAGTATTGAAAAGTAAAGAATTGAAAAGTATGGTATGTATTTCTATTCATCTCTTCCTCCATACTTTGTAGATGGAGGAAGAGATTTTTCAGCTGTCTAGCTGAATGTGAACATCCATCTCAGTCTTTATGAGACATAGATTTTTTTCCCCTCAATGCATGTATGGTAGTTTTCCACTTAATACAGTTTTGATATAGTCAAAAAAGTAAAAAAAAAAAATATTATCCCTCCAGAACACCTTCTTCCACATGTTTGCCTTTTCTTCTCTATGACTTTGAACAAACTGCAAACATTTCTTCTTTTGGCCATCTCTACAGATCCTCTACAGTTAAGGTGAGTCTCTTGGCTGCTTCTCTCCATCCTGTCAGTTTAGGTTGACAACTTGAAATGATAAATCTTGAGGTGTGCTTTAATCTTTCCAACGTCTTTCTCCAAGCTGCCTGACTTGTTGCTTGGTCTTCATGACGTTCTTTTTGTTCACTAATGTTTGATGACAAAACTGAAGTCATCAAACAAAGCCTGGATTTACTGAATCTTTCTTGAGTTGTAATTTTCTCCTATTGCCGTTTGAGGACAGGTGGAGTACAACCTGGACCCAGGACACGCTGGAGGGACTATTACAAGTTACTACTCTGTCATAGATTAACAGAAGCACTTACAGGCGTTGGACAATGAAACTGAAACACCTCTCATTTTAGTGTGGGAGGTTTCATGGCTGAATTGGACTAGCTTGGTGGCCAATCTTCATTAATTGCACATTGTACCAGTAAGAGCAGAGTGTGAAGGTCCAATTAGCGGGGTAAGAGCAGTTTTGCTCAAAATATTGCAATGCACACAATATTATGGGTGACATACCAGAGTTCAAAAGAGGACAAATTGTTGGTGCACGTCTTGCTGGCGCATCTGTGACCAAGACAGCAAGTCTTTGTGATGTGTCAAGAGCCACGGTATGTAGGGTAATGTCAGCATACCACCAAGAAGGATGAACCACATCCAACAGGATTAACTGTGGATGCAAGAGGAAGCTGTCTGACAGGGATGTTCGGGTGCTAACCCGGATTGTATCCAAAAAACATAAAACCACGGTGCCCAAATCATGGCAGAATTAAATGTGCACCTCAACTCTCCTGTTTACACCAAAACTGTCCGTCGGGAGCTCCACAGGGTCAATATACACGGCCGGGCTGCTATAGCCAAACCTTTGGTCACTCGTGCCAATGCCAAGCGTCGGTTTCAATGGTGCAAGGAGCGAAAATCTTGGGCTGTGGACAATGTGAGACATGTATTGTTCTCTGATGAGTCCACCTTTACTGTTTTCCCCACATCCAGGAGAGTGACGGTGTGGAGAAGCCCCAAAGAAGCGTACCACCCAGACTGTTGCATGCACAGAGTGAAGCATGGGGGTGGATCAGTGATGGTTTGGGCTGCCATATCATGGCATTCCCTTGGCTCCATACTTGTCCAAGACGAATTGACGCCGTCTTGGCCGCAAAAGGAGGCCCTACACCATACTAATAAGTTATTGTGGTCTAAAACCAGGTGTTTCAGTTTCATTGTCCAACCCATGTACAGTTGTGGTCAACAGTTTACATACACTTGTAAAAAACATAATGTTATGGCTGTCTTGAGTTCCCAATAAGTTCTACAACTCTTATTTTTTTGATTGGTCAGGACGGTCAAGAGTCAACCAAGAATCACCAAAAAGCAGGACTGCAAGGATTTGGAAGCTGATGGAACACAGGTGTCAGTCTCCACAGTCAAGCGTGTTTTACATCGCCATGGACTGAGAGGCTGCCGTGCAAGAAAGAAGCCCTTGCTTCAGAAAAGGAACCTTAAGATTCGGCTGAAGTTTGCTGCTGATCACATGGACGAAGATAAAACCTTCTGGAGGAAAGTTCTGTGGTCAGACGAAACAAAAATTTAGCTGTTTGGCCACAACACCCAGCAATATGTTTGAAGGAGAAAAGGTGAGGCCTTTAATCCCAGGAACACCATGCCTACTGTCAAGCATGGTGGTGGTAGTATTATGCTGTGGGGCTGTTTTGCTGCCAGTGGAACTGGTTCTTTGCAGAAAGTAAATGGGATAATGAAGAAGGAGGATGACCTCCAAATTCTGCAGGGAAAACTTAAAACCATCAGCCCGAAGGTTGGGTCTTGGGCACAGTTGGGTGTTCCAACAGGACAATGACCCAAAACACACATCAAAAGTGGTAAAGGAATGGATAAACCAGGCTAGAATTAAGGTTTTAGAATGGCCTTCCCAAAGTCCTGACTTAAACCCCATTGAGAACATGTGGACAGTACTAAAGAAACAGGTTCATGCAAGAAAACCATCACATTTAGCTGAACTGCACCAATTCTGTCAAGAAGAGTGGTCAAACATTCGACCTGAAGCTTGCCAGGAGCTTCTGGATGGCTACCAAAAGCGCCTAGTTGCTGTGAAAATGGCCAAGGGACATGTAACCAAATACTAATGTTGCTGTATGTATGTTTTTGACCCAGCAGATTTGGTGACATTTTCAACAGACCCATAATAAATTTATGAAAGAACCAAACTTTATGACTGTTTTTGTGACAAACAAGTATGTGTTTCGATCACTCTATCACAGAAAAATAAGAGTTGTAGAACTTATTGGGAACTCAAGACAGCCATGACATGATGTTTTTTACAAGTGTATGCAAACTTTTGACCACAATTGTATCTCATTTCCTATTCTTGGTTGAAAATATTCTCAAACTGAAATCTGCCAGCGACATTAATAATTTCTTAAGTGTTTATGTAGTTGGCTGAATGTAACTACATAATGGAGGTCATATAATTGAGAAAAAAATAACTAAAAAGGATTTTTTTTCTTACCTTGAGAATTGTATTGCAAAGCTACAGGTAAGAAAATATTAGCATGAAAGTGTCAACAACATTTTTCTCCCAATCTGTCAGCCTTGTTGCTTGGTTGAGGGACTGATATGGTCAGCAGCAAACATGAAAGTCATCCCTGGAAACCAGAGCCTTTCTTGCACGATTTATTCTTTCAATAACATAAAGAATAAATTAATCCCTCAAATAAAACTTAAGCTCCAAGTTATCTGTTCTCACCGATTTTTTATTTTTGTGTTATTGAAAATGTAATTTACATAACTCTGGATTTTCAAAGAATGTATTTTGTGTCTGCGATGGCAACAGATTCCCTCTCTAGAATCGATAAAGTACATGGTAATTTGGAACAGCATGTAAACAATATTAAATCAGATGCATTAATGGTTTGTCCACAAATAAATATGTATGATGTTGGAATTTAAGAAATATTTCAACATAGTTCAATGAACAGGGAAGACAATTTCCAGGTATGTTTCAAGAGACTAAATTGCTGGTGTGTCTGTGTCAACAACTTCAACAAAATGCTGTGCACTAAGTATTTTGATAAAATAGCTTACATATTTAATTTTTTTCCCACATTGTGAGTCCCCACCATGATTTCAGAAATATATGACACTCTGTCAAAATTGATGACATAACTGAGTAAAAAGGCACCAACATAACAAAATTACACATTAATACGTCTTTTATTTTTTCCATGTATATAATACATTTTACATTATTTTATTTAATTCCTTAGTTGTAATTTTCAATACTAGTGTTTAGTTTAGTTTTGTCATTGTGCTGAATATCCTTCAATAAAGACAAAATTCATTCACAGTAACTGAGAAAATAATATAAAATGTAATTTTAAAGTATTTGGGGGGAAAAAATCCCATCAAAACTGAAACTGCAACCACAGCTGAGACCAAACCTTTTGGAGGTTCTTCTTTGCTCATTCTGCGGACAAGTCTCTTTGCGGGGCCTGGAGACAGAGACGGTAGTGCAATTAATTTAATAATAATAGATAATATTTTCAAATTCCCAATAGGCAACACACCAAGGTCACTCCTCCCTGCAAGGGGATATTTATAAATTTCAATGCCTGTTTTGTACTGTAACCGAACTCCGTCTCACATACGGCTCAAACGGACACATTTATCAGGAATGACAACAGAACTTAGACTCAGGAACCAAAAAGACGATTAAATCCTTTTTAAAGTTATTCCATAATCTGAACGCGTCTTATGAACTATTCAGAAGTTATTCTAAACCAATCACAACAATAAAAACACGTAAAAGATTCTCAAACTCACCTTTCTCTCTGCTGTCCGTCATCCCAACAGCAACACTGTGAAGTTTTATTTCAGTCATTTACTGCTCAGAAATCAGCGACACTTGATCGAGGTTTTGGCCATTTCCGGTGATACACCGTCAAAATAAAATAAAGCAAGTAGGTCAATAAAAGAACTATTTTTCTCTCCAAGTAAATTGTATAAACTCAGCTAATCATATAACATTTACAAACTATAAATTTGTAACTAAATATCTTTCACCTCTATCTCTATTTATTTTACTTTAATTACCTCCAAATAAATGTATTAACAAACATTTATTTTGTAGGTTAAATAGAAGTGAAAACATTTTATTTTAGTTTTATTATCATTTTCAAATCAGTCTTAATTACTTTAGACAGTAACAAACTGAATCAATAAAAAGTTGAACGAGGAATTTTACTTTGAAAGACGTCAGGTGACGTTGCCTGACAACAACTTTTATAGACAAAAGTTGTGAAAATGTGACGCCATCTTGGTCCGAGTTGTTGTCGAGACATTCTGTGCTTGTCTCATCCTATGAAGAGGTAAGTGGACCGTTTGCAGGACGCAACAGAACGGATGAAATCTACCTGAGAGATTTTTATTCTCAACATTTACATGTGTTTATTTTTATGTCAAGTTAAAAGACGGAGGAGAAAACGAAAGCTGAGAGATGGAGTGTGTTCAGCTCAGATCCCGACAGGAGACATCTTGAGCCTTAATCGTTTGGTGGAAATCAGTAAGTAATAAAGCTCTAAGTAATAAATAAGTAATAAATAAATAAATAAATATATATATATATATATATATATGACCACCATTTCCCAGGAATAACAGATTAAATTAATCTTGTAACTCAGACCCCTTAGCGAGAAATTTTTATCATATCATATAATTTTTTATCATATAATAATGTGTTTATAGTTCATCAGTTTTATTAAATGTTGATTGAAATTATTTTTTTTCTACCTTGAGTCACTTAACATTGTGCATAAAAACTGACATCTTTATTTTTTCATTGAGCTTTGCAATATCATTACATTGAAATTGTTCTGTAAACTCCGAAGACAACAAGCAGAAACTAAAGTGTTTTGCATTTTCTCAACAGATCGCTGTTCTGTCATGGATCAGCATCTTAACATTGTTCTTCTGGGAAAAACTGGAGTTGGGAAAAGTTCTTCAGCAAACACCATTCTAGGACGGGAAGTGTTTAAGGCAGAAACACACTTTGAGTCAGTGACCAAAATATTTGTGTGGAACCTGTAACTCTGTTTGGGAGACAAATTTTAGTGATAGACACTGCAGACATATTAACATCACAGGAGCAGATTGCAAAAGTTCTTCTGAATCTTTTGCCGGACTCCACTCCCTCTCTTTACCTGCTGGTGATCAAAGTTGGTCGTTTCACTCAAGAGGATGAAAAGGCTGTAGAGGCTGTAGAGAAAGTCCTCGGGCCTCAGAGGATGAAAAATTGTTTCCTGCTCTTCACAGGAGGAGATAGGTTAAATACATCACTAGAGCAATTTATTTTAGGTTATACCAGTGCTTCTCAAATAGTGGGGCGGGCCCCCTTTGGGGGGCGCGGTGCGATACCTGGGGGGCGTGTGATCCTGGGGAACAGGCTTTTTTTGGCCGTACTAGTATAAAGTGTAATTGCGCACAGTAGGCGGCAGTGGCGCTCTCATTGTTACTTCTGTCACGTTTGCGACAGTGCAACATTTTATGACTTACAAGACAACAGGTTTGCCTTGGTTAGCAGTGTTAAGTCAACAAAAAGCTCCGACTGCGTTCTGTCTATGGCCTCCGTTATTCAACAACCCCCAACATGAAAAAGTTTTTCACAGGGATGAAAAGAAAAGCGGAGAGAGACAAAGATAATGAGACAACAGAAAGTCAACCGAAAGCTAAGAAGAGGAAATACGACGAAGCGTATTTAGCGCTTGGCTTCACTGTGGCTACAGTTGGAGAAGAGGAAAGACCGCTGTGTTTGCTGTGTCTAAAAATGCTCGCAGCGGACAGCATGAAGCCAAATAAATTAGCGCGTCACTTAAATACGTTACATCCCAATCACGCCGATAAGCCGCTAGAGTTTTTTCAGCGAAAAAAATGTTAATAAGGAAAAAATGTTATGCAGAGATGGATAGTCACGGTGGGGAGTGGGGGGCGCGAATAGTTTTCTTCTTGCTAGGGGGGGCGTAACGGAAAATAATTGAGAAGCACTGGGTTATACCAACAATCCGCCCAAAATTGTTGACCGTTTTTCATGGAGAATCCATCTTTTCAACAATAAAGATGGAGGAGAGGACCAAGTCAGAGAACTGTTGACAAAGACAGGACACATTGGAACAGGTCAGTACAAATTTCAGTCAGATCTTCAGTTTTTTAATACACACAGTTTCTCATAATGTTTTTATTTTTGTGTGAACTTACATGCCTTGATGCTGCTGTTCCACCTGAATTTTCTCACTATGAGATAACATATATACATATTTACTCCCTCATTCTAAGTGTGTGAAATAGTTTAAAAAAATAATATGCAGCTTCATAGAAAAAGCCATTTGAAAAAAAATTGTTGATAGAATTTCAAAAGTCTGGAGGAGATGATTATCTGGTTCCTGAAAAGGTGACTGAAGTAAATCCAAACTTTACATTAATTGGAGGCTGAAGGTATTAAAGGGAACCTATTTTATTTCAATAAAGTTTGGATTGATCATTGGGCTACATATTTATTACATTATTATGAACTCACTCTAAGGTCACAAGATTTTACCTGCGCAGTTCTGCCTGTTGGCTTCCCATTTTATCTTCATCTGTATTAGCTGTTGGGTTACTGTCACTTTAATGCAAACAAGCTGTTGCTGGCTGCACCCCCCCAATGTAATATTTACTTTAACATCTCAAACACAAAAAGGAAAATTGTACAACATAAAAGTCTGACTCAAGGTCATGGTGCTGCTCAACCATAAAAGAAGCTGAAAGTGGTTGTTGAAAATGAAAAAGAAACTCATGGTGTCTAACAAGCCCCTGAGGCCTTCACTGAAAAGCTGAATTCCTATAAATACATGCAGGAACACTTTAATTACTCATTACTGCCTCCTCCATAGCCCGTCTGTCCCAGGGCGTTCCCCAAGGTTCACTCATCAACCCTCTTCTTTTTTTATCTTATGTACAAAGCGAAGGGTAGAACATGTTGCAGGTTCTCTTTTATTGAAACACCTTTAGTTTCAACACATTTAAATGTGTATTGAAACCTTTAAGTCGGACAACAACTGCAATCAATCAGTGAAGGAACCAGAAGGCAGAATATACACATCCATTCATATTAGACATGTTGAAAATGTTTTTATCATTTTGGCCAGTAGAGTACAAAGTGAATCACTTCTGAGTGATTTTCCACAGAAATTAATATACCTTTTTTTTAGTGTAATCTCAGATTAATTGAAGAAGGGCAGCTAAACTAACTGATGATCTGTAAATGGTCTTGGAAGATTTGTTGTTGCTCTTTCATTTTATCTCTAAACAAATAATACAGTTTTGCTTTGCAAACTTTTCGTAAACTTTTTTTTTTTTTAACTGTCTCTCAGAGCGTAATGCTGGTCTGTAGGTGAGTCGAGTTTCCAGATGCAAATTAAAGTCAAAACCTTTTTCTAATTTTCTTTCAGAGAGAGACAGAAACTATGATCAAATGGGTGAGGTTGAAGATTCCTCTACCACAATGAAGGTACACAGGAACATTGTAAACATCTGAAATATATAGAAAATAACTTAATCATCAATCCATTTTATGACAATAAAATTAAATATTTTGTGATTTATGTTAAGGTACCCAGCACTGATGATGAACCAAAGGATCTTATCCAACACATGTTGGACCCTGATGCAACATGTGTTGAAACTGATACTGACGATCAACAAGCTGGTACAAACGATGAAGGTCAGTAAAATACATGTTCTAATTAAAACTAAGAAGTGCATTTACTGAGAATAAATAAAACAGGTTTACATAAATGTGTTATTCTCCTCATTAGGCCCGAGCAGCTAAGCGCTGCGAAGGCCTATTGTTTTCCTATTGTTTATTAGGCCCGAGCAGCTAAGCGCTGCGAAGGCCTATTGTATCTGTACTGTTTATTATTATTAGGCCCGAGCAGCTAAGCGCTGCGAAGGCCTATTGTTTTCCTACTGTTTCTTATTAGGCCCGAGCAGCTAAGCGCTGCGAAGGCCTATTGTTTTCCTATTGTTTCTTATTATTAGGCCCGAGCAGCTAAGCGCTGCGAAGGCCTATTGTATCTGTACTGTTTATTAGGCCCGAGCAGCTAAGCGCTGCGAAGGCCTATTGTTTTCCTATTGTTTTATTAGGCCCGAGCAGCTAAGCGCTGCGAAGGCCTATTGTTTTCCTACTGTTTCTTATTAGGCCCGAGCAGCTAAGCGCTGCGAAGGCCTATTGTTTTCCTATTGTTTCTTATTATTATTAGGCCCGAGCAGCTAAGCGCTGCGAAGGCCTATTGTTTCTGTACTGTTTCTTATTATTATTATTATTCTTCCACCCAAATGAATTGGCTTTTTGAGGGCTTTATCATATTCAAAAACTCACCAAACTTGGCGGACGCGTAAAGGGAGTTTCAAAATTTTGTATTTTAAGGTCATTGCAAAAATCCCATAAGAAATGACTCAATAGCGCCACCTAGAAATTTTCAAAGGACCCTTTGCTATTCACTTACTTTATCCTAGAGACATGAAATTTGGTACTCTTCTAGAGCTCCCCAGGACGCTCAAAATTTACAATTAATGTCATAGTGCAAGTACACAGGAAGTCGGCCATTTTGGATTGAAGGTCCAATTTTGAGGCCATTTTTGCCGTTTACAGCCTTCGTATTTGATCGAACTCCTCCTAGGGATTTCGATTGATCGGCTTCAAATTCGGTCAGTCTGTTCATAAGGCATGTCCCATCTAAAGTTATCAAAACTGTGAGTTTTTGAGTATGCTGAAGGGTTTAGCAGGGGTCAAATTCACCTACTCGCCATAAAAACATAAACTGTTATATCTCCTACACAGAAACTCACAGAGGCACCAGAGTTACTGTGATTAATCATCATTGGCTGCCCTACAATACCCTGTGGTCGAATGATGACATCACTTAGACCACGCCCCCTGAGAACAGGAAGTGTCATGTTTTACTGAGAACGGTCGCTATCTGACCCCTTTGACCTCATCAACATGAAACTGTGCCAAGACACAGAGAACATGTTGGTGTGTTGACGATTCCAACCCCGACCAGCTTTGATGGAGCAGATGGGCGTGGCGGCGTGGCGAAGTGACCTGTAACGCCATCGCCATACGTTTGGCTCTCAATTCCACATTTTCAGGCCCAGCTGCTCCAAACTCACAAGGATGGTCCCTCATCTACTCCCCTACAGGAATCCATCACAATATTTGGTGGGCGTGGCCTAATTTTTCTATAGCGCCCCCTAGAAAACTTTAAATGATCAGCCCCAAGCCATGCTTTAACCTACAATTACGAAACTTTGTACACATTTGTATCATGTCAGGACTTAAAAGAAAGTCTCTTGGAGCCATGGTCTAAACCCCACAGGAAGTCAGCCATTTTGGATTGAAGTTCAGATTTTGACCCCATTTTTGCCATTTACAGCCTTCCTATTTGATCGAACTCCTCCTAGAGATTTCGATTGATCGGCTTCAAACTCGGTCAGTCTGTTCATAAGGCATGTCCCATCTAAAGTTATCAAAACGGTGAGTTTTTGAGTATGCTGAAGGGGGGTTAGCAGGGGTCAAAGTTCACCTACTCACCGTAAAAAATAAACTGCTCTATCTCCTACACAGAAACTCACAGAGGCACCAAAGTTCTGGGATTGATCATCATCGGGTGTCCTACAATACCCTATGGTCGAATGATGACATCACTTAGGCCACGCCCCTGAGAAAAGGAAGTGTCATGTTTTACTCTGAACGGTCGCTATCTGACCCCTTTGACCTCATCAACATGAAACTGTGCCCAGACACAGAAGACATGTTGGTGTGTTAAGGATTCCAACCCCGACCAGCTTCGATGGAGCAGCTGGGCGTGGCGGCGTGGCGAAGTGACCTGTAACGCCATCGCCATACGTTTGGCTCTCAATTCCACATTTTTGGCCACAGCTGCTCCAAACTCACAAGGATGGATCTTCATCCACTCCTCTACAGGAATGCATCACAATATTTGTAGGGTGTGGCCTAATTTCTCTATAGCGCCCCCTAGAACATTTTAAATGATCAGCCCCAAGCCATGCTTTAACCTACAATTACGAAACTTTGTACACGTGTGTACCATGTCAGGACTTACAAAAAAGTCTCTTGGAGCCATGGTCTAAACCCCAGAGGAAGTCGGCCATTTTAGATTGAAGTTCAGATTTTGATCCCATTTTTGGCGTTTATAAACCATTTCAGTAATTCGCCACTTGGGGTCAGTATTGCTCCACAAATGAAACAGCAGATAAACAGGATGAAGAACAATATCAGTATTTCGCCAGTAGGTGTCAGTGTTCCTCCACCAATGACAAACAGATCCACGGGCGGATGGGCGTGAAAACTTTGTGAGAGCGTTGCCATGTCATTTCTAAAAGGATAGAAATGTCTCAGATAATTTTTGTTGAATTAAATCATGAAGTAAAATTGTGAGAGCGTTGCCATGTCATTTCTAAAAGGATAGAAATGTCTCAGATAATTTTTGTTGAATTAAATCATGAAGTAAATGTAGCGTTTTCTTACTTCTTACAAACCATTTCGGTAATTCGCCACTCTAAGTATTACTCCAACAATGAAATACAGTGCTTTAGAAACACAGCTGAAAATGATGAAAAATGACGAACTGTAGTACTTCGCCATGTGCATATGATCGGCTGTAAATGACACGTGGATCATCCGACTGACGCCAAATTGGATACGTATGACCTTTGTTGACCTCTAAAGAGAACAACAGCATTGAAATATATTTTGACTACACTGCGCGTCCTACATTAATCCGCCAGCTATATTTCCTCACTAAACCAATGAATCTGCACCACATTTTTGAATCGTCAAGGAGCGCCTCCGAACGCATCAGTGCGTACCGCCTGGTGGACGGGCGCGGAAACTGCGCAACAACTTCTGTGTTAGCACGTGGCCAGCGTTGATGGAAACTGAGCAACAGCTTCCGCGGTGCGGGCGGAGGAGCTGAAAACTGCGTGAGAGCTTCTGTGGTGGCTGACGTGAGGCGACGGTTGCTAGTATCCAGCGGTGGCAATAGGCCGGAGCGGCGCTTGGCTGCGAGGGCCGTTCGAGGCTGCTTGCAGCTTTAATTATTATTATTATTATTATTCTCCCTCCAAATGAATTGGCTTTTTGGGGGCTTTATCATATTCAAAAACTCACCAAACTTGGCGGAGGCCTTAAGCCTGTTTCAAATTTACGTATTTAAAGTCGTCGCAAAAATCCCACAAGAAATGGCTCAATAGCGCCACCTAGAAATTTTCAAAGGACCCTTTGCTATTCACTTACTTCATCGTAGAGACATGAAATTTGGTACACTTGTAGAGCTCCCCAAGATGCTCAAAATTTACAATTAATGTCATAGTGCAAGTATCACAGGAAGTCGGCCATTTTGGATTGAATGTCCAATTTTGAGCACATTTTTGCCGTTTACACCCTTCACATTTGATCGAACTCCTCCTAGGGATTTCCATTGACCGGCTTCAAACTCGGTCAGTCTGTTCATAAGGCATGTCCCATCTAAAGTTATCAAAACGGAGAGTTTTTGAGTATGCTGAAGGGGGGTTAGCAGGGGTCAAAGTTCACCTACTCGCCCTAAAAAAATAAACTGCTATATCTCCTACACAGAAACTCACAGAGGCACCAAAGTTACTGTGATTGATCATCATCGGGTGTCCTACAATACCCTATGGTCGAATGATGACATCACTTAGGCCACGCCCCCTGAGAACAGGAAGTGTAATGTTTTACTGTGAACTGTCGCTATCTGACCCCTTTGACCTCATCAACATGAAACTGTGCCCAGACACAGAAAACATGTTGGTGTATTGAGGATTCCAACCCCGACCAGCTTCGATGGAGCAGGTGGGCGTGGCGGCGTGGCGAAGTGACCTGTAACGCCATCGCCATACGTTTGGCTCTCAATTCCACATTTTTGGGCGCAGCTGCTCCAAACTCACAAGGATGGATCTTCATCCACTCCCCGACAGGAATCCATCACAATATTTGTAGGGTGTGGCCTAATTTCTCTATAGCGCCCCCTAGAACACTTTAAATGATCAGCCCCAAGCCATGCTTTAACCTACAATTACGAAACTTTGTACACGTGTGTACCTTGTCAGGACTTACAAAAAAGTCTCTTGGAGCCATGGTCTAAACCCCACAGGAAGTCAGCCATTTTGGATTAAAGTTTGGATTTTGACCCATTTTTGCAGTTTACAGCCATCGTATTTGATCGAACTCCTCCTAGGGATTTCGATTGATCGGCTTCAAACTTCGTCAGTCTGTTCATAAGGCATGTCCCATCTAAAGTTATCAAAATGGTGAGTTTTGAGTATGCTGAAGGGGGGTTAGCAGGGGTCAAAGTTCACCTACTCCCCATAAAAAAATAAACTGCTATATCTCCTATACAGAAACTCACAGAGGCACCAAAGTTACTGTGATTGATCATCATCGGCTCTCCTAAAATACCCTATGGTCGGATGATGACATCACTTAGGCCACGCCCCCTGATAACAGGAAGTGTAATGTTTTACTGTTAACGGTCGCTATCTCACCCCTTTGACCTCATCAACATGAAACTGTGCCCAGACACAGAAGACATGTTGGTGTATTGAGGATTCCAACCCCGACCAGCTTCAATGGAGCAGCTGGGCGTGGCGGCGTGGCGAAGTGACCTGTAACGC